CTGCTGCCTGGGTTTGAGCCAGCTGGGTTTTCTCTTGGCATGGGGGACTTTGTGAAGTCATGCCCAACCAAGCAGCGTTGGGGAGCAGGACTCTGTCAGGGAAGAACCGACTGTACTCTTTCTTGGCCCTGGTGGGAACACAGCCTGGAACCAAGGACTCCCTTGCCCCATCTGCATTGTTGGCAGCAGGACAAAAGGACCCATGACCACACCTGGGGCTGAAGATGAGGAGTTCAAGTCGTGTGTTGGTGTTTGTGGGAGTTCTGGGGGCAACAAGGAGCAGAGCTGGTGGATGTGCTGCTGGAACTGGCTGGGGACAGTATGATGTGGGGGCGAGGGATGACTCGGAGGGTTGCAGCTGCAAAACTTCTCTGTCCTGCCAGCACCCTGCAGCTGGGGAGGAAGGAAACCTGGGGTAGGCAAGGCTGCAAGGCTGTATCCGTCCCAGCCTTGGCACGGGACAGCCCAGGAGGGTGCCAGGGAGCTTGCCTGGGATGCGGTTCTGGTGGTCGGAAGGGGGAGGGATCTAGGCTTCTCACATACTCATAGCCACATCCCAGCCTTGCCCCGCTCAATAAAGCCTGGTGGTCAGATGTGGGACCTGGCAGTGTGAGTGCTCCTGTTTGCTTTCCAGCAGCTGCAGACAGGGCACTTCCCCATGGGCATCCACTCAGGCTGGAGGAGGGCAGTCCTCTGCTGTCCCAGGACTTGCACCCAGCACCAATCCTCCAGCATCCAGGGAGGAATGGAGCCTTTGGTGTGATGCTGGAGATGGGCAACCAGCAGGTCAGGACCAAGTTGCTCCCCAGGATGGGGGCTACCCATGTGCTGAAGTTCAGTTGTGTACTGTGAGACCCTTGGGGGAAATGCCCTTCTCTACACCACAGTGTGGGACTGGTACCTCTCCTTATTCACCATCCCCATTCTGTTCTCACAACAGTCCAAATGTCTGGCTCACTGTCACATCCCCCCTACCAGGGAGGACAGAAGGTTTAGGGCAGTGGGGGGCAGGCTGCTGATGGGCCTTCCTGCTCAGGGAACACCCCATCAAGGCTCATTCACCTGCCATGGGGACAGGCTGGCCTGAGGCCCTCATCTCTTACTAGGAACACCCTGGAGGTATAGGGAGCTGGTGGCCCTCATCACGGTGGCTGTGGGTGCTGCTGTTTTCTGCTTTCCCCATTCAGCCAGCTCTGGGAGGAATCTGCAACCCTTGGTTTTCCATACTTGAATGGTAGAGCCATTGGGGTTCTTCCTGTCCCCCTTCCTGCCCTTGCTGCTGTGGGCCTGAGACTGACTGCCAAATGCATTCCATGCTGGTCTGTGCAAGCCATACCCTGGAGCAGTGCATATAGGTGGAAACCCTAAGCATGAGTTGTGCACCAGAAGGTTGGTGGGGCATCCCTGGCACTGGGTTGAAAAAAAATCAAGGGCCATTCTTGAAAGCTTCAAGCAAAAGGCTGGAAAGGATCTGCAATAGCTTTCAATGTTACCCTCAAATAATGGGACCTGCAGTTTATGCTGCTCTGAGGAACAAGTTTGGAGCCTAACATAGTAGGTGTTGGGGTCCAAGGCAGTTCCTCCCCACATCTGACAAGGCTGTCTATGGCAGGGGAGGCTCTCTCTGAACTGTAACGCTGTTGCTACCTGGGGCTGGCACAAGGACACGGTGGGGCAGGTCCCTGGCAGGGAAAGCTGATGTTGGATGTTGAGGTGATGTGAACCTCCAAATTGCCACCATGTAGCATGGCATGGACTGGGTGAGTTGACCTGTGCAGTTGGGCATATCCTCGAGGAGCTTGCTGAATCCCTTTTGGATTCAGTTTCCAGTTCTGGCATCTGCAGTGTTCTGAGGCACAATCTACGTGGGCTCTGCCTCAACAACAGCCCATGAAGCTTTTCCTTGGCAACCTCATGGATGAGGGGGACTTGCTGCTCCCCTTTGCACATCACTCAGGGTCTGCATGGGCCACATGGCACCCTAGCTCCAGTAGCCTGTCGTGGTTTAACCCCAGCAGCAGCCAAGAACCACGCAGCCTCTCACTCACTCCCCCACCAATGGGATGGGGGAGCCAATTAGAAGGA